GTTAATCTGGAGATCAACAGACTCTAGGGGCCCGCGCATATGATCAACATCACTCTTTAACTAAACAACCGCGGATGTCTTAAAAAAAGATTTTGAAGACATCCGCGTTCTTGTGACGTGTAAATACTACGCTTCCTATGTTTTGGTGCGGACTGCGTTCACACCAGCGATGAACCGCTCCAGAGTTCACTAGCAAGCGCTCCGAGACCACCTCTTCTAGGCGGACCAGAGTCCGGTTGTTTAGTTCACTTCAGAGGTCTCGGACTGCGTTCACACCGACCCAAACGAACCGCACCAAGCGGCTAAACGCACCAGGGTTTGATTCAACCGGACTATAAAAGGCAGGTGTGAACGCGACCACATGCAAAGTGTACAAACGGTTCTTATTTCTTTGGCATTCATACCTATAATCATTACCATATGTTCTTTCCTCTCTTGTTACAGGAGCCCAGGTGCCAGCCCACGTTCCCCCCAACATTTCCCTGCTGTACCTGCTCACATGGTGTCTGGAGATCAGGAGCGTTCCTAAGAAGGTACATTCCTTACTTTGTAACGTGCATTGCCACTTTTTGATGTGCCACACTGAAAAAACAGCAAGATATCAGCACAATAAGAGGGACGACCTTTGTCATGTTTCCTCAGGCTATAGCACTCTTCTTTTTGTTGCTTGGAGAAAGTTAATTTATTTTATGAAGAAGTGAAATTGTGTTTTGACACATATGTTTTATCCTCTGTGAGACATTTTGCCCTTCTCGCATTTTACTTCTATAGAAAAGTGCCAAAAAGGTACTTTTAAATTGATCAAGCAGCATATTAAGATACACCGTCTGCACTATTTAAACTATTCCTGCTTCATCGCTAGAAGTAAGTGCTAAGTGAATAATGAAATGTCTTTTCTTCTGAAGGTGGGCTGCTGTCAAGGTCTGCCTCTAAATTACCTTGAAAACTAACAAAGATCTTTCCTGGAATACGTACAATGAGATTCTCTCCTGTTAGAATTTGTATGAAATGCCTCGTCTTGAAATGAAAGTCAATGAAAACGTAGGTCAGAAGAAGTGAAAGAACGGGCGTGACGCTGGCGGAGGTTCAGAGCCCCTTCAGGTGACGTTACCTTTTTATTTCCCGTGTCTTTGTCAGGCGTTTGTGCGGGCGCTGGTGGAGCACACGGAGGGCGGTGTGCAGAGGAGGAGACTGCAGGAGCTGTGCAGTAAACAGGGCAGCGCCGACTACAACCTGTATGTGAGGGACCAGAGCCTCTGCCTGATGGAGCTCCTCTCTGCCTTCACCTCCTGCTCGCCTCCTCTCAGCCTCCTCATAGGTCAGAAACCTCCTGTTATCTAACTCCACTCAGTTCAAATGAATCTGAGTGCATATAAGATAAGGGCTACATTACAGGGTATTATATGATATAAGAACCACTCTGAAGGCAAGGCAAGTTTATTTATACAGCACTTTTCAACACAAGGCAATTCAAAGTGTGCGCCGCCGCCACTATTTGTATATATGGGAAACACTGGAAGTAACAAAACACCAAAATAACCGGGCGAGAGAAAAAGGAGAGGAAACTGTCGACTGAAGCCACAAGTGAGGTTTTAATTTATACAAAAGTAAAGAGGCTCACCAGCCAGATTGCAAAACAAACTTAAGTAAATAAGGACAACTTTCTTCTAAAAGAAAGTGACCAACATTAAGTAACACAGACTGCACACATGCAGCCAGAGGAGAAGGAAGAGAGCCACTGCAGCCTTCCTCCTTTAAGGTCCTTTAAGGAGGCCTTGATTGGGGATTGGGAGCACCTGGGGGAGAGGCTGCACCTGGAGACAATCACACACACACACACACACACACACGTTATATGCAGTTGAGAGGTCAGAGCGGAGGCAGCCAGTCTAGCCGGCACCAGTGAGCAGTTGGGGGGGGGTTAGGTTCCTTGCTCAAGGGCACTTCGGCAGTGGCCCAGGGGGTGAACCGGCTCCTCTCCAGTACCAGTCCACACTCTGTATTTTTGGTCCGATCGGGACGTGAACCGGCGACCCTCCGGTCCAAAGTCCAATCCCCTACAGACTGAACCACTGCCGCATAGTCAACTTATTGATGTGTTGATTGACAGAAAAAATAGTTGTCAATTCTTTGATAATTTATATAAGTCAGAAACCTCCTGCTGTCTTTCTCTAATCAGTTAAAATGTATCTGAGTCCATCTTCATAATCAGGGCTACATGTATTATTATATAAGAACCACTCTGACGTACAACATCCCATCAGACGTCACATTATTTATCAATTTATTTTTGATTTAATCGTCATGTTACTTAGAAATAAAGCTGCAGTGATTGGTAGATTCATTGATAAGTTAAATGACAGAAAAAAAGCTGCCGCTATTTTGAATTATTGATAAATATTTAGGGTCATTTTTCATGCAAACACGGCAGAAAAAGCAGTTCAGCCTTTCGAATATGGCAATTTTTTACTTTTCTCTGTTTTATATCGTATTAAAGTGAATATCTTTTGGGTTTTGGACTGAAATCACAATGTGTTTAAATACATCACCTTGGACTTTTGACTATTTTCTGACATTTTATAAATCAAACAATCAAGAAACTGATTGGCAGAATAATCAATAATGAAAATAATCAATATTTATAGCCTTAATCAAGAGTTAGGTACATTTAATGCATGGTGTTTTTCATGTGACTAATGAGATAACATCACATTTTTTAAGATATTTTTTTCTTTTACAAAATGGTTATTATAATAGATGCATGTTTAAATAAATGTTGCCTGGAGCAAAAGGGGAATTCAGTTGATTGACATGCCATCGGGATTTAGACTGTTCCTGTACACAATCTCAGAGGTACAATTCAATTAAAAACAATTAACTTCACTTATAAACACCCCAGGTTATATCAGGTGTATTTATTTAAGTATGTTTAATTGTGTAGGTTAGTCTGTCTGACTGATCCCCTCCAGCAGGGGTCACTGCAGCCTCAGAAAAGCTAGATTTATGATCCGTGGTCTGCAGGCTGATTTTGTGTGAGCATTTAATTATACTGAACGGTCAGACAGTGAACGTCTCAGTGCTCCCCGAAGGATCAACACTCATTTCCTTGTCTCATTTTAAGTCTGTGTAGCTCTAATAAGTACCCGTGTCACAGTTTCTGCGAATATAATAACAGTATTTTACCTGCAAGACAAGAGTTGCATTCATATTTTCCTCCCTGCTAAGAATACAGATATTTTTTTTAAGTATCTTTTCTTCTTTTGACTCTTTCCAGACCACTGTTGTTTGAAAACTAACATCTTCTCTCAGCTCATTTAGTGATTTGGCTGGTCATTGAGTAAAGATCTAATAAGCTCCGACTGAAACTTAGCAGACAGTGAAATGAGTTGGCTGCAGCTTAACATACAAGAGGAGTTGTCCTCTAAAACAGCTGTGTCACAGCTCTTGGCCATCCCCAATGTCGGTTATTTTTGGCCTATTTGCCAACCACAGCAGCTTTCTTTTCCGTTGTGAACTGATGTAGAAATTGGGGTTCGTGACGATCGTGCCCTCGTGAAAAACGCGCTGCTGGAGAGCCTTCAGGGCAACAGCTGTGATTGGAGGATCGGGGGGGAAGTTTACTGGTGAGCCACCGCCGGGCTTTGCAAGAACCAAACCCCGCAGTATCACTTCGGGTCGACGATTAACGGTCAACTCTGACTCTGTGTCACCTGTAAAGCACAGCGCTGCAATTTTTGCACCGCTCTCGGTTCATTACCTCGACTGGAGGGGAGGCGTTTGTTGATTTATGCTGCACTAAGTATAACTAATGAGGAAAGATGCATCGAAGCACACATTTCTTTAGCCAAGAGCAGGCTGTTTGTAAAAGTAAACGCTGGATTTAAATTGAGAAAGATACCAGCTTCTCGTCATTGTTTCACATCGTGTGTCGGATAGAAAACGTTTAGGTCATTTCCACAGGGAGCTGAATGCTCTCCATCACCATATTTTTTATTTTACATTACCGCAGGGCTCAGATCAAACTGTACCAGTATTCCCTTTAGCCTGAATGTGACCTGTGCAAAGTATTACATTCAAGCTAGACTCTCTAGAAAATGTTCAAATGAAGTTTCCCGGTCACACAGAACGCTCCACATACATTCCCACTTCATTCACTAATGCCAGGGAAAACCTTTTGAATGGATGAGGGAAACCATGATCTTGCAGATTCCTCCCTCAGAAGGAAGTTAGAAATTAGCATTTTTGTGGGCTATTATAAAAAATACAAATATCTCCCCAGTGAGGATTCTTCTTAAAGCTTTAAGGCTAACAACTTACCTAATTTCATCCGCAGCCAAAGAAACTATCCATATATCTTATGAAGTATAACTTTTATGTTCCACTACATTGCTATCTCATTTCCACTAAAACGGCACTTCTGCATATAAATTGCAGCGCCAAGAGACTTTGAGATAGAACAGATTATATTGTTGTGCAGTATGATCGATGATACCCCTGAAAATGATCATTTCTGAAACATAGCGGGGACCCTGGGACTGTATTTTTTGGAAGAGCTTCTTCTTTGTAAACACATATTTCTGAGATGTGTCCCTAAGCCGCTCGCTGCAACATAGAAAAGCAGCGGTTTTAAAAGTGATATGTCCTTTGTATCCAGCAGCAGGATGATAACGGTGATGTGAGATGATGGATTGGCTGTCCTCCCTTTCGGACATGTGCTGTCACTTTGTGATAGAAAGGCATCGCGCAGAGGATTGTGTTAACGCACATGAGGTGTGTGTTTCCATGGAGGCAATGATATCTGGATGTGTTGTATGAGAGGATTTGTCCAAACACATTTCGTCCTTCAGGGAGCTACTTTTTTTTTATTTGAGAAATTATGAAAGCATTTTTTCATCCACACTCTGCTGCAGCTTAGTCCTCATTATTGAAATAATTACTGCGAGTTGCATCTATTGTGCAAACATATTGATTCATACAAAGCAAGGCCAGCGAGTCTCGCCTCAGTAAATCTAAATATTGTCTCTTATATTTCAGAATAAGAGCCCCCCTCTGAACACAACGTTTTTGTGAAATACTTCAAACTGTTATACAAAGACTTTCAAACCAAGAAAAATTACGTTTTGTTTATGCACTTTTCTTTATAGTTAAGATGACATCTAAAACAAACCTGCTTTTCTTCTTCCTTCTTCCCAGGGCATTTTATATTTAGATAAATTATGATTTCTGTACCATACTCATGCTGTATCATTTAATCATACTTTTAGAGCCACAAAATACAATATATCAAACTCTTAATATACAAATAAGTATGTCATGTCTGAAAAGTAGTAGAATAAGCTTATATGACTATATCAGCATCTCTAAATGGTTGACCAATCACAACAGAGCCGGCCAGCTAACCAATCAGAGCAGACTGTGCTCTGGTGTCAGACAGAGGGTGAAAAGAGGTGCTGCAGCACAGG